ACACCCTAACCATTTCTTGATGTTATAGAAAGGTAGCGCATTCTTCTCAATTATTTTAAGATCCTGAGTGTTGGTCCAGCTAGGGCTTGAACCCTCGACCTCCCGCACAACAGTCCAGCGCTCTATCCTTTGAGCTAACCGGGAGGTGGTGAAGTGGTCCTAGTAAAAACCCTGTGCAGGGAAATTATGTTATCAGAACCCTTAAACTCTCAAGAACTGATTGTTAATTCTCTCCTTTAACTGCTACACATTTCCTTAAATAGTATTTAGGAGAACCTGGTGTTTGATCTGATAAGTTTGAGTAATCTCACTACCTGTTTGCTAGACGATGTATGGATTTTACAGGGAGAAATTACAGGTTCATCACCTCTGGGAGACTTAAAGGAGGGGGGGAGGGACCTGCAATTGATTAGCAGCTTATACCCTGGGGATTACAATATTACAATATTTCTACTTTCATTATGATATTGAAGCTAGAATCAGCCCTGACTAAAGTAGAACTTGGCACGTGTCCATTATTGATACTTCTGTTTGCCTGCAGGTTGTTCCAGTTTCATGGGATATCACACCATGGGCTCATTATTTGTTTATTTTTCTAAACATTATGATGTGGTGGGCTTTGTATTACGCTAATTCACGAGATCCAGGGTTCCTCCCCTGCCATAGTCCAGATTATGACATGGCCTTAAAACAGGTGAGGATGTCATGGCATGTTTGTAGGACGTGAGTTTTGTGTAATCAAAATGGCAACCTCCTTCGCAGTTCTCTAAGGTGTTTTTTTTTTTGTCATTTTAGGTGCCGTTCTATGAAGAATGGGAAGTTAAGACAGGACAAAACCCTCTGGAAAACCTTTGTCACACTTGTAGGCTGGTGCGACCATTGCGTGCAAAGCATTGTAGGATATGTAACCGCTGTGTCAAGCATTTTGATCATCACTGTCCTTATATCAATAACTGTGTTGGCCTCAATAACAGGTAAATAACATGGTTATTACCACTTCATTACACTTTTTTGTGTGTTCTTGTGACTCATTCCCAGTATCAATATGAATTTTCTTGCAAGGGTTCCTTGACCAGAAAATATAAACAAACCACCAAATGAAACAGGAAAAACTCAGGATTACAAATAAAAAATTATAAAACGTTGAAGGGTTCAGTGAAACCTTAGAGAAAGAATTGGACAATTAGCCATGAAAACCACTGGCATTCTATGATGTAGTTTGTCCTGCGATGAGAGCTTACCTCTTACTGTTCACTTAGGGAAATATGATGAATTATCATATGAGGGGCACCTTCACAGCCTCTTTAGGTGTCCCCTAGTTACAGGTGCCCTTTGAATGGATACAAAACGGAAACAAGCGCTTAGGAACATTTTCTTATTTTGGATCAAATTTTTTGCCTCCTTTTAGTTTAGATGTGGCTGTCCGTCGAATATGTATTTCAAATTAAAGACCTGGGCTGGGTTAAGGTAACCCAAGGTTAATGTGATATTACATTTCATATCTGAAGCATTAAAAGAAAAATTCAGTTTAAAGAAAATTTAAGAAAATTCAGTTTAAAACCCTTTGTCTACAATTTGATGATTAGATGTTCTAAAAAGAAACGAGAAAATTTTCCCAAAAATGCTTTAGAAAAGAGGAATGATGAAACCTGGATTCAAATTTATCCCTGGGTTAGCGCTATCGACCGTCGAACAACGCTCCTGATATATATCGGATATGGTGCTTAACGTATAATTGAGGCAATATCTGAACCCAGGAGCAGTTTTGTGACAATGTTTATTTTCAGGGGTCCGTTCTTGATCTTTGTATCATGTGTTGCTTGGTGTAGTATGTGAACCCTGGAGCATGTTTCTTTTCAGGGGTCCGTTCTTCATGTTTGTATCATGTGTGGCTTGGTGTAGTTTCATCACCGTGTACTTCGC